TCATTTTAAAACTTTAGGTGCATAGTCTGTGTACTTAAACTGCGTCAGCCTAATGCTTTAGGTGTGCGTGATTTGTGTTTTTAAGGTGCTTTGTTTGTGTGCTTAAGGTGCGTCAACCGCACGAGAAGTTATACCCGCACCTTAACCCTTCCCTCTATATATATATATATATATATATATATATATATATATGTGTGTGTGTGTGTGTGTGTGTGTGTGTGTGTGTGTGTGTGTATGTATATATATATCAATAGGAGTGTAATTTAAAGATCTCAATTAGAGTTTTTATTCATTAATTTTATTTGTACAAAAATAAAAGGTTACAAATAAATTTAAGTTCAAAAAAATGTGTAAGGAGAAAAAATGGAAACGTGTTTGGATGCATGTTTCTACATCACCCTGGTCCATCATATAACAAACTCTTTTATTTACTATACCAAAAATCGCATTTAGCGGCGGTTATAAATTCATTTAGCGACGGTTTGAAACCGTCACAAATGCATTTCCCGGTGGTTATTCAAACATGACTAATTAGTATGTCGCGAAGGTTTTAAAGGCGATATTTTACAACTGCGGGAATTAGTCCGTCATTCATTTAGTGGCGGTTTTGACTACATTTAGCGGCGGTTTTGGAACCGCCGCTAAAAATTGATCATTTTTTATTATGGTTTAGCAACATTTATATAACCGTTGGTAAACATTTTATTTAATTTTACCATAAATTTTAGAGGCAGTTATAAAACCGCCGCTAAAATATATTATTATTTTTTATAATTATTTTCTTATCTAATAATTGTGATATTTTCGAATTGTGACTAAATTTTTCATTTTATTTTTATGATCCTCATTAAATTATATATATTTATTTATCTATAATTCTCTACATTCAAATTTGCATTGCAACCACAAACAAACTCACTTATATACAGATTCGATTTAAAATAAAATTAATTGTAACAATATTTGCAGGGCCGTTCTAATAAAAAGTGGGGTCCTGTGCAATATTTTAATTTGGGCCCCCTTTTAAATAAATTTCTATATATAAATAATAGTTGTTCGAAAAGTTGTCCCAAAAATTCAAAACATAAATATTGTATACAAAAAATACACTTTAGACGCAAAATCATCCACCAAACTTTTGATAATGCAGACGAAAATCTTCTAGATAATTTATCTTTAGGACCTTTATTTATTGATAAATCTCTTTTAGGACCATCTTTCACAAGAATATCTATTAATTTAGAATCAAGGGCATCCCAATTTCTTGGATCATATATATGTCAAATAAAAGCGAATCATTTGGTTTATCACTGTGACCAACATCATCTAAACAACTATCAACATTCTTATTATTTTCATTTATTTTCATTGTCCCAGTGATAACTATCATCGTTGTGCACACCATTATTTAAATTTTTTCTAATCTCACAATCATCTTGATCTTCTATATGAAAATTAGCATCTTAACAATTTTTCCTTGGCATCATCTTTTTGCTCATATATTTGAGTGTTTTTTTTTTTTTTTGTAATGAATTTTCAAGAGCTCCCTTTTGAGATTGAGTTAGTTGCTCAATTATTCTTTTCTTTTTACGCTTCTCAAACCCAGACGAATATTTTCTAGATGACATAAAATCCTAAAGAAAAAATAAAAGTTTATTTAGAAACAATATCAATAAATAATTAATCAAGAAACGAATTCTTTGAATATATTATTCTGAAATCAGAATTACTAAGTCATGTAATGATGTAAATAAAACAATAAACAAGAATTTTATAAAACAATACGTAATTTTAATTATATTACACATGTCAAGAAAATTGAATAACTTGAGAGTTTGTATAATAAAAAAAGAATTGAAGAATCGATAGCACAAGAACTGAGTTGTTGTCTTTGTGTCAATTCACTTAATTGCGCTGCCTAAGAGACGTCAAACAACAAAGAATAAAAATAAACAACCCCAAATTGAGTATTTAAATTACTACATCAAAAAAAATACAAACAACCAAACAACAAAAAATTAAGATTTAAGAATACAATTAAAAAGAAGAATACAATTGAGATTAAAGGACTACACAGCCTCAATAACGCAAATAAGTAAAATTAAATATTTAAATTACTTCAATTTCAATTACCTAGACAAATTGAATTATTGAAATTGTTGTAGTCTCTCTAATTCTTCTGTCACTCTGTGTCTTTGTCTACTGCTAGCGCTAGAATCTAGATTAGAGAATAGGGATTTAGGGTAGGGTCGTAGGGCTTGAGTGTTTAATGATTTGTGAGTTTTTCTCTTAATTGCTACGTTTGAACGCCGCAGCTGCCGAATGCCAATATATATACTATACTTTTTTTTTTTTAAATCCGGGGCCCCCAAAATTTTTGGGGCCCTGTGCGCCAGCCCTGGGCAGACTTGCCTAGGGACGGCCCTGAATATTTGTCAAATAATAACATCAAACAATATTCAACTACAAAAGTCTACATATTATTTGAATTACATACATAACTAAAAAGTCCTTTTACACAAAAACAAAAACAAAAAAAAAAAAACAAAAACAAAAAAAAAAAAAAAAAAAAAAACAAAAAAAAAAAACATAATTGATATCTTTTTATCTATGGACATAAAAAAAATTGATAGCTTATTAGCTAGGTCCCCTTTACAAGACTGCCAATCACCAATGACCCCTGATCATCTGGCACCCTGGGAACACTACCATTGCAATCCAAAACCAAAGGAGGCTGGTTCTAGTTCAGAAGCATCAAAGCTTTTGAATCACTAGATCTAACAACGACTCAACCGAAGAAGAGCCGTGTCACAAGTAATGGTTCTAGGTATCAGACATGCTATTTGATTCTGTCAACCATGAATTTGCACTTGCAATTGTAGACACAGAAAATTTGAAGCCGACAAGTGGGCCAATTAAATCATTATTGATGCCAATTTCGAGGTTGATTATTAGTCAAATCTAATTAATTGGGTTATGATAATTAAATTAATTTAATTAGTCCTAATAAATTTGATTTGACTATTGAATTAATTAATTGATTGGTCCAAGCTCATTTCATATTTGAATTATAATTATAATTATAATAATTTAAATATAATATGATTTTATTATATTTGAATTAGATAATTACAATTTGAATTAGATGATAGAATAATGAACCTAGACTTGATTTTGACAAGGTTCATTTTAGTAGATAATTAATTAATATAATTAGATAAATATTAGTGGAGTTTGTTGAGGGATTTTAGTTACAAACTTGACTATAAATAGAGCCTCAATTTCATTCTTTAAAACACGCCCCAAATACATTGAAAACAATTGAAGATTGGAAGAGTTGAGCATTTGAAGAGCTTGAAGGCACGTGAAGATTTGTAGCCATTGCATGTACTTTGAAGATCTTGAAGTCTTTTGAAGGCAACTTGAAGCTATTGCATGTATTTCGAAGAGCTTGAAGGCAACTTGAAACCATTGCAGGTACTTTGATGCTTTGCAGAGTTGATTGCTTTGAAGCTTGGCATTTGATGTTGAAGATCACGCCAATTGAATCCCGGAAGCTACGCCATTTGAATCCCGGAGGCACGCGTCATTTGAATCCCAAGGCTACGCTACTTGAATTTCGGAGGCACTTCAGTAAATAACGTTAGTGAAAAATCAGAGGACTACATAGAAATTTTGTACCTCACTAGTACAAAAACAGTTATTCGCGTCCAAAGTTAAGGCTAATTCGCGTCCAAAGTAGCTGGGACGCAGATGTCGGGGACGCTGATTGTATAAACAATCCGCGTTCAAAGTAGCTTTGGACGCGAAAAATGATAACTCGCGTCCAAAGTTGAAGAACTTTGGACGCGTATAGTATTTTTTATTAAAAATATAAACACTATAGGCGTCCAAAGTTCATGAAAATTGGACGCGTAAAGTTAATATTTTTTTAAAAAAAATACAATTCGCGTCCAAAGTTCACGAACTTTGGACGCTTATAGTCATTCTTTTTTTAAAAAAAATTATTTATTTAATAAAACTATCAATAGTCACAATCTTTTATATTTATTAAATACCAGTGAATTGTCAAATAACAATTAGAAGATCAACTTCAAATTCAACAAGACAACAATCCAAAAAAAAAAAAAAAAAAAAAAACATGAATTAAATACTGCGTAAAGTTCATCAATGCGGCAAACACATTACATGCATTGTTTAACTATTTCAATTTACCACTAATTTCACCCTGGTAATTTCACAAGTCATAAAATTTGTGAGGTCACCTTGTCAAAAAGCAATTACACTACTCCATATATTATATCAAGATTAGTATAACAACCAGGCTAATATAATGTTAGTCATGTCAGCAATGTCTCCTTCCATATAGCCTATACTGAATAAAGAATTGTGAATGGTTAGAGTTTGTTGGCAAAATAATTAACAGGTTGGCTAAGTTCAAGGAATGGCACATTGCATCACACGCTGACCACATTGCTATTCCTATCTCCATACCTTCCAATCTGCCAATATATAACCAAGCCTAGGGCTTATTCTAGCCAGCACAAGCTTGAGTTTACTTTCCTGTTAGACAGAGAAAAAATACAACAATGGCAAAACCCAACCACATCCGATCTATTAGCTTTCCCAGCAGATCACATCCAAGCATTCAGAAAGTGGAAGAAGAGCTTACCAAGCTCAAAACATTACAAGTATCAGCCGCTCCAGGAGCTGCTACAATCAGCAGTGGTCTTCTTGGATTAGAACAACTTTACAAGTGCATGGATGATCTTCTTAACTTGCCACAAACCCTTCAAGCCTGCTCCCAAAATCAAAATCAGAAGTGGGTTGATGGCTTATTGGAGAAATCGATAAAGCATCTTGATATTTGTGGTCTGGCAAGAGACTGCATCTCTCAGTTGAAAGAACATTTGAGAGATCTCCAATCCTCCCTAAGGAGAAGAAAGGGAGACTCAAGTGCTGAAGCCAGCATCACCAGATACACTTCATTCATAAAGAAGATGAACAAGGATGTAAAAAAGTCAATTGCAGCTATAAGGAAAATCGATGATGAGATTGAAGGATCCACACCCATAGATGTGCATCGTGACATCTCATCAGTGATCAAAGCACTAAGAGAAGCAAGTGCAGTGAGCACTTCTATTTTCCAGTCTGTCCTGCTTTTTTTGTCAGTGCCAATTTTGAAGCCTAAGCCATCTAGGTGGTCACTGGTCTCAAAGTTGGTTCAGAATGAAAGAGTAGCATGTGAATACCAACAAGAAAACTCTTGCAACCTGGAGATTTTGGAAGCTCAACTTGAAGATATTGAGAACAAAATGGAAAGCATATTTAGGTGCTTGATTAAATTAAGGAGCTCTCTCCTAAACGTCATATCTTGCTAAGTAATTGTATAGCCATACTTGTATATAATCAATTTTGTAGTTACTAAGGAGAAATACAATACAAAAGTGATAGTTTTTACTAAAATTTGCTTCTATCTCTCCTCTTATGCATATCAAGTCATCCCCAGTTCTTGAAAAATGTCTGTTAACAATAGACATTTGCAACAAAAAGAACAAAAGAGGTGGCTAAATACTTGGTTATTTATAGAGTCAATTGTTTGAAACAAGAACCAAAGAAACAATTGTCAGCTCTGTTCCATGATCAATTGCACCATCAAATACTTAGAGCATGCTTTTGTTGGCAGCATTTCAAACCCGGAGAATAGAATTAAATGTACTTGCCTTTGTTTCCACCTTCCTTGCATCTACCAAGTCAGATTTATTTCCAGCAAGCACCATAACCATGTTTGAGTTACCTAGCGACAACAGCATGGAGGACTGAAGTGAAACTAAAACTCATTCACATAGAGAAATCAGAAATTTTGTTTTTTTTTTTATTTTTTGTTAGACAACAAGGTGTTCTGAGTAGGCCCTAACCTTTAAGCCCATAAATCACAAGAAAAATAGAAAAGCATCAAGCAGAAACACAAATAAACCGGGAAAAAAATAAGCAACATGAGCTGATGAACAATAGAAACCTAATTTTTTGCTCTTTCAAAGGATTCCTACAAAGAGAAAATCAAGAATTAAACCTAAATTTAGTTTCTGCAATACATACAACTTTACAAGGTAACCACTTCACTTACTTGATTTGTTATATCATACACGATTATAGCAGCTGCAGCTCCTCTATAGTACATTGGAGCTAAACTATGGTATCTCTCTTGACCTGCTGTGTCCCATATTTCAAATTTAACAGTGGCATCATTTATTGCCACTGTTTGAGAGAAAAAGGCAGCTCCTATAGTTGATTCCTACATTAGCAGATACAAGAAACCAAGTTTAGTCAAATTCAAGTACCAAACCCATCTCTATAAAAACAAATAAATAAATACCAAATTAACAACTTACCTGGAATTCAACAAACTGTCCTTTAACAAAATGCAAAACTAAACTATATTTTCCGGCCCCAACATCTCCCAGGAGCACCTGTAGACAACCCAAACCTGGATCCAAAACAGAGGCCTAACTAACAACCAGATCCAATAACAGATAATGCTGTAAAAATCTACCTGGGATACAAACATAGTCAAGCTTCTCTATAAGAAAACTGAGTCTATATAAAGTTGACGGGCACTCCAGTTAATAAAACAATGACTCTCTTGGAACTCTTGCAAGTTAGGTCAAAACTTTCAACTCATTCAAAAGCAACTGTTCTCCGCACGACAACAAAAGAACTCTGCATTTCCAGAGTGAGTTGGTTTTAAAGAAGTGCGTATAGGATAATAGTAAGCAGAATGAAGTCAATATCATAAGAGAAAACACAAGAACTCCATAGCTTGATCAGAATTAAAAGTGAATATAACACTATTGTAGATGGAGCAAAAGTGAATGAAGTCAATATCATAATAGAATGAGCACAAGAACTCCATAGTTGTTTAATTACTACCATTAATCACAGAAGTAATTACCTGATCAAGCTTGCATAGCACCTCTTCTCTCGTTGCAGCTTCTTCCTCCTTCTCGTATACTCCAGATCAGAATCCCTCAAAAACTAACAATTAATCAAGAGTCAAATAGTTAGTTCATATTCAAGCCCAAAATTTTGGAAGAAAACAGTAATCATCAAATAAAACTACAAAATTTGACATCATTTAGTATTTCCTAAACTATCCAAAATCTTAATCACATCGAAATAAAACTGAAAGGAATCACCTTCTGGAGTTGTGCAGTTCTTTGAAGATCCGCCTCGGACGGTCCGGAAAGGGATAACGGTTTCGCCGTACGGCGGCGTCGGCTTCCGTACTGCGGTGGCGAGCTGAGGCGTCGGGGCTGTGACCTTGGGCGGCAGCGGCAGCGACGTCGATCGGCAGCGGCGGGACGTAGATCGGCGATGGACGGGAAGATGGAGATCGTGGACGGCGGGGACGATGGAGAGCGTGGACGGCGGGGACGGCGGTGACTGATGGACGGCGTCGGAGCAGAGCTGATGGAGATGGACGACGTCGGACGCGATCTAATACAGAGCTGAAGGATACAGATCGAGCTAGGGATTTAGGATATAAAAAAAAATCGCGTCCAAAGTGACAACTTTGGACACGATTTATTATTATTCGCGTCCAAAGTACTGAGATTTGGACGGGAATAATAGAAGACTTTTAGTATTGGCGTCCAAAGTACAGAGATTTGGACGCCAATACTGTTTTAAAATAAAAAAATAAAAAAAAAATTACTTATATAGTGGCATTTTAATTATAAAAATGCCACCGCATTACACTTTAGGCATCCAAAGTTTTAATTTTGGACGCGAATTAGTCGATTTTATTGATGTTTTTTGTACTAGTGCCTGCATTTTAAATTACGCACACTGTAAACAGATTTTGTGAATATATACAAAGTTTATTTTTTGTGTTTAAGGATTTTGGCACGCCCGTGGGACAGCTCTGCCTCTCATCTCTTCACCATCAATCTACCTCGACGGCTCAGCAAGAAACTCTACTAGCAATCGGAATGGTGTCAAGAAGCTCGATGTTCAAGAAGTCTTATGCCCAAACCGCTAGTTCCAAGTCTTCATCAATAGCTGGTTCTGAAGCTAGCCGAGAGACCGAAGCACCATTAACCAGGAGCCGTGCAAGGAGCTTAGGAATGCGACCGCCAGAGCCTGAGTCAATTGTTCGATGCATGATTCAAAGACTAGAAACAGCCCCTACCGTCCCGAGGAAGTCTATCAATGTTGCAGGTCCACCATCTTCGAAAGGAGCAACCGATAGCGGGAGGATGACTTCTTCGAAAAGAGCAGCTAGCAGTGGGACGCCGACTTCTTTAGAAGGAGCAGTTGATAACGTGAGGTCGACTTCTTCGAAAGGAGCAGCTGGCAGCGGGATACCGAAATCTCTGAAAGAAGCGGCGAATAGCGAGAGTCTAACATCTTTGAAAGAAGCGGCGAATAGCGAGAAGTCGGCTACCCCAAAAGGAGCAGCTGGTAGCAAGAGTCCTACATCTCCGAAAGAAGCAACGGATAGCGGGAATCTAACACCTTTGAAATGAGCTAATGATAGTAAGAGTCCAACATGTCCAAAAGGAAACACTAACACGGGAGGCTCGTCACCGACATTGCCGACATCCAACATGTGGAAGGTCGAGTCAGAACAGTCACGCATTCATACAGTTATGTCGGCTATGACAACAAGCTCGAAAACTATAGAGGACCAGCTTGCAAGCATCACAAAGGCGCTTAAAGGGATCACCATCCTCCTTCAAAACCAAGGAAAGATAATCAACGACTTAGCTGAAAAGGTCGAGAGCACAAGGAATGGCAAAACTAGCCGGGCTCCTAGGAAACAACCTGAGGTTCAAAGAGAATATGCCTCGCACTTACCAACTTGCCTTGGGCGAACTACGATACACGAGGAATCAACTTTGCACATACCAGTTTCGGACAAGAGCATTCCAGTCGTCGGGGGCATGATACCGGTAGATCGGCTTAACGAGTTCATCGTGGGAGCTATCAAAGGAAAGCTCGAGGGGGGACAACCTTCATACACTTACACCGAGCCTTACACCCAAAGGATAGAGGATTTGAAGATGCATGTTGGCTATCAACCTCCAACATTTCAGCAATTCGATGGGAAAGGCAGTCCAAGACAACACATCGCCCACTTCGTGAGAACATGCAACGACGCTAGGACGTATGGAGATCTTCTTGTCAAGCAGTTCGTCCGCTCTTTGAAGAGTACTGCCTTCAATTGGTACACTGACTTGGAGCCTTGCTGAATTGATGGCTGGCATGACATGGAGTGTAACACCCCCCCTAATTTCCAGGCTATTTAAAGGCTTAAATATGCAGATATCTAAACAAAACATCAGACACAGCGGAAGACTGAAAGACTAAGTCTATACTTGGCTCACAGGCCACAAAACACAAGAAAGGAGCTACACTAGCTGGCACTAAACCGCTCTCTCGTCTAAACATCACCTGAAAGAAACACATAAAAGATGGGACGACGCCCGGTCAGCGAATAATGCTGGTAACCCACCAATACATGTGAAATATCAGACATAGATAAGATATACATTTGTAAAGTCATTTGCGAAACGGAATACATATATATATATATATATATATATATATATATATATATATATATAAGTTAAAAACCAAGAGCAAAGGTCAACACAAGACTCAAAGCACTCACAACAAGATAAGGGAACACATCCCAAGACTACGAAGAACAACAACGACTCACAAGGACGGCTCAAGGTATAATCTATCATCACACAATAGATTAACACCCGACATGCACAACTCAAAAGAATAAGGACACGACCAATGGCAACACATGCCTTTGTGACAACACACGTCACAAGAAGAGAACTCACAACAATTGATACACAAGCCTTCGTGACATCACTCATCACGAATTGATATGCCTTCCTTATGCCCGGTTCCAACCTTATGGCTACCCCAACCTTATGTCTAGTTCCAACCTTTACCTCCAGGACCCCTATACACCAAGTCCAACCTTTTTCCTCCGAGGACCGTCATCCCCTCTCTGACAGATCTCCAACAGAACCACCGATTTCATAGTACACGAGGGTACCGATCACACACACGGCAACACATGCCACCCAAGACATACGTGAACCTTACACAAAGGTCACAAACTCCATAATCATGTCATGGCCACCACGAGGACCACTGCAGTACCTTGGTGATTAAGGCCCCATAAACCGAAATCGTGCAATCGAGGTACAGCTACACACACCACACCTCAACAGGAATCAATCAACGGATCACAACGAAGATATGAAACCATACTCAATCAAGGAATGGCTCACAGTTCAACAACAACGATGAATAAAACAAGTCATCATCAACAATAGGAAGGGATAAACAACACACACGCTAGCATTTAAACACCGAACTAGCATACTTATCAAACGGGTAAAACAAACGTAGTTCCGAAGAACACACCTGACTCATCATGGTTCAACGAAACACAATGTTGAACACTTAGCAAGATTGAAGACACCAAAGCCTACTTGGATTCCTACCATATAGTTCTAGACATACGAAACATTAAGAAGACACTCAAATAGTTCCACAAAAGAACATCGGGAAGTCAAAAGACCAAATACCGAGTCAAAAGAATCAACATATATTCCCCGCGGGTGGGCCCACGGGTAGACCCCCACCCGTGGTTCCGCCCGCGGGTACCAACACCCACAAGCCACGTTCCCCGCGGGTGGGGCGGCGGGTGGACGCCTACCCGCCGTTCCGCCCGCGGGTACACCAACCTGTACCAAAATAATCCCTTCGGGGATTTTCAACTCCAAGCTCAAATTCAAGTCCAAAACATGCCAAATCTCACCAAATACAACAAAATGACTTGAATCAAAGGAATAACCAAGCAATGGCATACATGAACCCTAATAACAAGCTCTAGATATTGATTTTCACAAGACAATGCATCAACACTCACATTTCATAGCAAAATCACATCTAGAATCCAAGAAATCATTATATAGGTAAGCAAAATAGATTTTGTAGAGCATGGGTTACCTCTTGTAGACAAAAACCTTCACTTAACACTTCACCAAGCTCCTAATAAGGCTCACCTTCCAAACCCACTTCAAGAACACACCAAAAGATCGTAAAGATTCTATCTTTAAGAAAAGACACCTTAGAAAACACTAAAAACACAAGATGAACATAGATCTTACCCTCCTAGATGCCCAAATGTATGAAAGGTAGAATCTTGGAGACAACTCTTGAAGATTTGACAAAGCTTCAACTTGGCTTGGAAGAAAAGCTATCTACCTGTTTAGAGAGAAGGTAGAGCCAAAGTTTGGAAAGTGTAAGGAGAGAAATGAGGATTGTCTACTAGGTTAGCTTGCATTACTAAAATAAGGTGAAAAGTCATGAATACCCTTACTAAAATGAAGAGGTGTAAGGGGACAAGGCAACTTGAAGCTATTACAGGTATTTTGAAGAGCTTGAAGGCAACTTGAAGCCATTGCAGGTACTTTGAAGCTTGACATTTGCTGTTGAAGATCACGCCAATTGAATCTCGGAAGCTACGCCATT